CAAAGTGCACAAGCGACCAACTTCAGCGTTGGCTGCGATTTTGAAGCTGAAATCACGTTCGGTGTGAACGCAGCATAAAGAAGAAGCCAGCAGATTGTGTTGTATCACTTCATCACAGTCTCCCATCCTGAGCAAATGGTGGAGAGGAAAAACTCTCTATTAACTGGAAGAAACCTCCAGCAGAACCAGGCTCAGGACAGGCGGCCATCTGCCTCGACAGCTGGGTTGGAGGACAACAGTTAGGCAGAGTGAAGTAAAATAAAAGGACGCTTACTTTATCATATTTGAGATGATCAGAACTCAGATAATGCAGTTATTGTAGCTTGAACATGAATTTAAAAAAAATCGCAACTGTCACATGTCTACATTTCTAAATTATTTGCCTGATTTATGCAGAATCTGTTGTTTGATATTACTTTTTCTACAAACATCAAAACTCCCTTTTAGATGGAGCAACCATTTCAGAGATGCTCTTGTTGCGTTGGTCGAATGATAAAAGATAAACTCAGTAAACGGCTGTAATGTMCTGTAGGTACAAAACATTTTAAAAATGAAATGCTAGTTTGATCCTTTGTTTAAGCTTTGATTAAATTCTGATTATCAACACACTGAAGGAAAATTTGACTGTCTCACGATAATTTTGAATTTTAATTCAGTATTTTATTTTAAAATCTTTATTTGCTGAAACATCTTTACTGAAGAATCTATCAGTGGTTTGAAGCTCCCAAAGTAGTGAACTTGTTCCAGTTTACTGACAGTTCTAGATACCCATCCCAATAAAAAGGAACAGTAGCTAAAATACAGGAAAAACACCCAATAACCAGAGGTTTGTAACAGATTTTCAGCTGGGTTAGGACTGTTGTTAARATGTTGTGTAAACTCTGTTTCCAGAACCACCTTGTGATTTCTTCCTATCAAACTTGATGCTGAAGCAYAACAACTATTGTATACAGTGGCAACTGGACTAAGATTTTATATCATAAAGTAAAAACATAGCAGGAGGAAACAGCCACCAAGTTAGAGGCAGCAGCTGAACATGGTCTAATAGGTTAGAGAAATGATTAAAAGATTGGGAAAGAATCTAAATAAGGTCAGGGTGGAGAAACAAATAAGATGGCAAACTTTCTCTGATGTTGTTTGTTTGAGACTGTAGGAAACTGTATGTCATAACAGTGGGCAAAACTGAAAACACAACGTTTTTGTGTTTTTCTTTTGAGGAAATTGTTCTACCCATACAAAAGTGCCAGTAACCATGTTTGTCAGACTATTACTCTCCACTGACTGAACTGATCGTTGTTAACAGTTTGGTCAAACTAACAGTCTGATATGTGGGTGGATGGTCTTGGATAGAAATTCAACATGTTCGTATCCAGCATAATGTTTTCTGCTATTTAGGACTAATTATTTCACATTCAACAATTAAACCATTTTTCATTTACTAATGCACAAGCTCAAAGTCAGTATTTTGCTTTAAAAGACCAAAAGAGTAGAGTTGAATGATGACCTTGAATTCCAAAAATAGCTAGGAACCTATTTGAAGATGTGCTGCCTAATTTCACGCATGTACATTAGTAACTGTAAAAAGGTCAATGTAGCACTTTTTCAAGTGCTAAGAGTATTTTTAACATGTTCTTTATCCACTAAAATAAACAGATACAGTAACTTGTTGCTTTGTTGTTATAGTTTTCAATTCAAAAAGTGAGACATCTAAATTACAAAACAAAGCTTCTTTAATTTATTTTCTTCCCAAACTGGAGGATAGAAATGATGATTGCTCAGACTTGCTGTTTAAATTCAAACACAAGTCGAGCTTCATGACTGAACAACATCAGTATCAAGTATCAGATCAGAAGTATGGTGAATGGAGGAGATGTTAAAAGGGTGACAACTACATTTATTTGCATTGTTACTAAGAAGCAAAAGATAAAATGAAGGAAGGGAAGAAAAGGATGAAGGCAGTACTTAAAAAATAAAATAAGTAAGTAAATAAATAAATAAATAAATAAAACGGAGAACAGATGCTTTACTTACCACATGACACTTTAAGATGTGCTGGTGGTAGAGGCAGTGGCTGGATCGGTTTGTAAGTTTTCTTGGGCCTGCGGCTCCAACCGTTTCCTCTCCTCTTTCTTCGCCTCCTAGTAGATGAGCCAGCCACAGGAGAGGAAAAATCTGAAAACACATGGGAAACATTTAGGACATTTATACTGAAAACAAGCATAAACAGCAAAACTACTTCTTCTAACATGTTTTTCTTAAAGGGGCAATATCATGTAAAAYCAACTTTTTTTGAGTTTTRTATCATGTTATAGTCTCATAAAAATATCATGCCCAAAGCGTTTTTAGGAAGCCACGCTGAGGAGCAAAACGACAGGTGGGGACCAGAAACGTCCCTGGGACGTGTCTTTAAGCCGAACTTCCTCATGGCAGAGTGCCCCCTGCCCMTCCCCACACACCCCGTCCATGACTYCTGCAGGCTCTCAGAGAAGGGGTTATCTGTGGAATCGAAGTGGGCGTRTCACAAGAGTGGGCGTGTCAAAAGCATAAACACTGTGGGCTACGAGGCCTACATGACGGTATCCTAAGATCCTGCTTGATGTCTTTACAGCCTGACCCTGACCCCAACACTAARGTTAACCAGGAGAAATGTGACCCAAGTAGGGTTCTCCAGAAAAAGTGGTGCCGTACAGTAACGCCCCTTTTGTTCTTGTCCAATGAGGTGGTGCCGTACGGTATCGCCCCTTTTTTGCCTGTCCAGTCAGGTGTGTCCCTTTAACAAAGTCCGTCAAATCAGGTGTGTCGCTTTAGAATCGCCTTTCCTTGTGACACGCCCACTCATCCGCAGAGACCCCTACTAACTGAAAGTGAAACTTAAACTGTCTGCTGAGATCTCAACACTACTTCTCACTCAGTGAAGCTCTTTTCAGATTCAAAATACCTTTGAAGAAATGTATTTTCAGACGCCAAGTAAACTGCATCATAGCAGTGACTTTTTTGACTTTTCCATACTAATTTACAAACAAAATGGCTCCAGAGCATAAAATATGGTGTAAACMAAATCATGTACATATATAAACATAATAGAAGGATGCACCAAACAGAATATTAGCTTCTCCAACCTATCAGTACTAGTCTTAAGTGGTCTGCCAGTGGACAGTAAACTTACCAGTTGTTAAATGTTGTGTGAAAGATGGAAGTGGCATTTCTGTCGGGCTGCAAGTATGATGTAGTCCAAACASCAACTCTGAGTTATCTACTTCATTTCTATGTCCAATTCTTTCTGGGGACACTGAAAAACACAAATGCACCATGACATTAAAATTAAGAAAACAAGTGATGAATGAAAGTTTCTGGCTGGGTGTGAGAGTGGAAACAGTCACCAAAGGTCTTGGATTCACATTCTCACCTGTCCTCCTCCTCTTGCGAGACACTAAAGGCAGCAGGTCATGGCGGGTAAGAACTCTCAGTAGTTGAAGCAGTGGTGCCAAGTTACCATCACCGAGGTATCCTCTCCTCTCAAGTTCTAACAGCAGCTTGAGACCACTCTTAGGTTTTGAGTCCACTAAGGGAGGCAGGGTTGGCTTTGGTTTTATTCGATTCCACACTTTCAGCAGTTGTGGACTTGGTGCCACACCCGAGTCCTCTGGATTGTCTTCAGCAGGTTCGACCGTCCAGCCTGCTGGGTCAAGAGGGTGCGGGGCAGGGTAGGTTTCATTCAAAAGGAAAGACAAAACTTCAATATCCATCTCTGTTAGCTGAGATCCAACTATTTCAAAGATCTCATGAAGAGACAACATCCCGTAGTAGTTTAGGCACTCTGTTTCATCCCAGTGGAGTGAGTCCCTGGTTGTATGCCCTGGGTAATCCACCGCAGTCATAGTTGGAGATTTTTCACGTTTTCTCCTGTGCTGAAACTGTAAAGGAGTTTAAAACAAAAAACACAAACAATAAGCAATTAAATCTTTATTGCACAACAACAAAAAGAGATAGTAAAAGTGTAACATTGACTACCAAACTTTTCAGTATGCAACTAAACAATATTACAGAAAAGCCTTGATTCTTACTTACTGAATTGCAGAATACAAGGATAAACAAACATGAGCATGACGATACAACAGCTCTGATAACAGTTATGACCTTTAAAATTTAATTTGTGGTACCTGTTTGGTATGGGGTTTTTTTATCCCTTGCAACAATTATGCTAAAATACATGCTGCTGTTTCATAAGTCAAAGTTAGAAAAACTTCCTACTTGATGGGCTTTCAATTAATCAAATCAACTCAATACAAAACGTTGCATAGTTAAGTTTTTGTTTTCTTTTAGAGTTAACAGTATTTGCGCTAAATCCTACCTCTTTCTCTTTTCGTCTTCAGCTCGACGCTGATCTGACAGACACACACACACACACAACACAGTGTCGTCGTGTGAACATGTATCAACGACCAGCTGGAAGATGAAAGTCGTTCCTTCGACGTCCAGCAGCAGCAAACCGTGGAGCCAATCTCCGCCTTTCAAATATTTATGTAACCTGTCACGTTTTTTAGGAATATAAACAAAACACGGCAATTAAAAACCAAAGCAAGACAACAGTTTACGGCTGCTAAAACAAGTAGTTTTATTTATATTTTTGTGCAAAGACATTCCGATAACAACAACGCCCAATTCCCCCTTTTTTTCTCTCCAGCGTTGTTGTTGTTGTGATGACAAAATTCCCCTAGCATAATATTACCTTCCTTAACTTTGCCTTCTTATGAGTCTTAAAAAAGTAAACACATGAACTGTACGGTAAAATAGCTCGAGTATTAAAGTAATTCATGCATTTCAACAGCAAAACTCAAACAAATAATTGCAGCTCACCTTCCTCGGGTTTTTCCTAGGACCTAGCAATTTCCACGGGGCCGCGTGCGTTCTGACGGCACACGGAAACTGACCAATCACAGCCTCGGTTCATTGTTGCATGACGTCAGGTCACGTTTTTCCCCATCTCTCTGATTTGCGGTCAATTTTATTCGTTTTGAGCAGCCACACGAGCCATGACGTGAAAGTATTTACCGTTTAAATAATCAATATTGTAAAAACACTTCCAGGCGCACATTACGCAATTAATTTAAAGCGAACTTTACTAAAATAATTAAAGTTATGTAAGATATACATCATGACCAGTAGGTGGCGATGTCTGGCATCAGTGAAGCATGAAGGTTTTTTTCTTTTACAGCCACATCACTTCCGCAATTCCCGAACATCAACAAAAAGGACTCGGGCTGAAGAAACTTCAGTAAGTGCCGACATTTAGTTAACAAAAATATAAATATATATTGGTTTGAGAATTAGGACAGTAATTTTGTTTTTTCATCTAAAGTATTGGTTTAAAGAACTACGGCATTAATTTATTCGCCTGGACCAAAATCATGGAAAAAACAAAGAAAGAAAAAAAAACCTTAGCCTAGAAGCTAGTCGTTTTCGTTTGTAATATCTTGTGAAGTTATTTATTTATTTATTATTTATGTGTATATAATGGAATGGTTGTATACATAGAAACACTATTGTTTGGTAGCAACAGTTTGTTACACATCCTGGTTAGTGATGTGGCAGAGAGAAACCAGACCCTGTTCCTGACTAAATGTTTCCACTGATTGTTGTAGTGCAGTTTCTGTTGAATGTAAAACAGTCACAAACAGTACTGTCTTAGTTTATACTGTACTTTTTTGGTCCTTTTTCACAGAAAAACATCGTATCTGGCTTTAGCTGTTTTTGACTTATTTTCTGTTTCTTTCACCTCACTAACATGACAGCAAATTATGGGTGTTTAAATAAGTGTGAATAACTAAGTGAAGGACAAAGAAGTATAATCAGGCTTTAAAAGAACTGCTGCTGATAAAGTGTTTGTATCTAAAAGTTATATCTTAAAAAAAACAAGGATAAATAGTTCTGTAAATAGGATCGGTATGAGATATCATCCTTCTGTTCTTTAATTCATTATCTCCTGTTCACCAAGTTTTTAGCTAATAATGATAAGATAAATGTAAAACATATAATATATGTATGTATTGATCCTATTTAAAATTGTTCTCTGCTGAGTTGTTTATATACCAACTCAGCCCCACTTCATCCCTTGAGTTTAGGAGCCTTTTTATACTGAATGATTCACAAGTCAAAGTTAAGCAGGTCAACAAACAGAAGACAATCCTCTAAAAGTGTCGGGTACTAGTCTGAGCTGAAATTAAACTCTTTTCCAATTTAGAAACTGGCAGAGTGGTTAAGGGAGTCCTCCTGTAACCAGTGGGTTGTGCTAGACACTTCACCTGCCTTGCCCACTAGCAATGGTTGGGGGTCCTGTGGCGYCAGTGTAAGGCAGCCTCACCTCTGTCACTGCCACAGGGCAGCTGTGGCTACAATGTAGCTTATTACCACTATTAGTGTGTGAATGTGTGTATGAATGGGATTGAAGTGTAAAGTGCTTTGGAGTCTGTAGGGACTTAAAGCGCTAGATAAGTTCTGTCTATTTACCAATCAGTAATTTGGGCATTAATTATTTATTTTCTTTAAGATTAAAACTTGCATGCCTACATGCCATATGCTTTAAAATAAAAACAAATCAGTAAAAGAAAATTGTGTGTTGGTAGCTAAAAGTTGTTTGATTATTATTTTTTTATCAGAAAGTCTTTCAATGTTTTCCGGAGTACCAAAGGGGGAGAACGTTCTGGTGGACATGGACAGTAAGGGTGGAGATCTGTTCAGTGCTGAGGACGCTCATCCAACTGGAACAGGAGGAACTGGAGTGCTGTCAAGGTACGAGCCTCGAAGTTTTTACTTTTTGTCTTATGCACTTAAATCTCCACACAATGTCTGTATTGATGCTAATATACAGAAAGCTTTTAATCTTTTATAATCTGCATATTATTTGTCAGCATCTCTCGACACCTTTCCACATGTTTATGATTCATTATCCTGTTTTATTTTGTAGGCTCTGGCTTCCTAAAGGCATCTCAGCCAGCGTGGCCAAAGAGTGGTTTGACAGGCGCAGGCTGTCCATTCGACCGTGGGCCAGTTTTGTCGACCAACGCAAGTTTTCAAAGCCTCGGAATTTTGGCGAGTTGTGTCAGAGGGTGGTGAAAAATGTGGAAGTGTACAACAGCAACTATACCTTCATATTCCTCGGCCTCATCCTCTACTGCATGTACGATATCCAATCAGTCTGATTTGGAACATTTTTCTTTTCTGCTATCAAAAACAAACAAACACAGTTAAAGTTCTTCAAAGATCTTTAGAAAGAAAATGTCATTAAACAGATTGAAATCAACATAGTCATCAAACAAATGCTGCTTTAAACGACAGCTGTCTGATGTTGATATTTCTGCTCTTCAGTATCAGCTCACCCATGCTGCTGATTGCTTTAGCCGTGTTTGCCGGCGCCTTCTACATAATCCACCTCAAGTCTTTGGAGTCCAAACTGGTTGTTCTTGGTGAGTAAAGCTTTCACAAAAGCACATGCCTTCAAAAATGTGACGGATGAAGTGAGCACATGTTAAATTAAGAATGAATAATGTTACTGCTTGTTTTTTTTTTACTTAATATAATTTAGATGGTACTGTATATACTGTATTAACTAACTCTGTATTCAGTTTTTTAAATTACTGTATTTGTAATATTCTTGCTCCCTAGGCAAAGAGCTAACTGTTCCTCATCAGATGAGTCTGGCTGGACTCGTCTCTCTGCCTGTGTTCTGGTTGGCTGGAGCTGGAGCTGCAGTGTTTTGGGTTCTTGGTGAGCTAAACAGTACTCGGTGTGTGAAACACTCAATGGGCCTCATACAGGAACATGTTCGTATTCTTATCCTAAATTTCTCTTACTTTTGTGCGTATGAAGGGTTCGTACGAACATGTCACGTCAGATTCAACAAACTCTTCTATCTTCAGGAAAAGTATGTAAATGAGCTGCGYAAATTCCACCTGTTCTGTCCAGCTGCTCGTGCACGCGAGAGGAGATTAGCATAATTACCACCCCAAAAACACCATATAAGGCTGTGTTTCCTGCCTCAGATATCAGGAAGTGTCC